ATCATTAAGACGTGCATCGTCACAAGCCACGGGGTTTGAGGCCATCCTTTTTCCACAAACCATAAAATGGACACGGCCAGTGGCTTACAACGATGAAAGACTAAAATTCAAATAGTATAAATGTGTTATACCATAAAGAATAACAGATTTTTCATAACTACTCAAGGCATGCGTAATGGTTATCAGTCGCTTATCAGAGTATATCTTTCCTACAACCAAATCATGATATGAGTGTGACTAAAATGGGTAGTAAAACCCGGGCCGGGCCGGGAATTTCGAAACTGAAAACCGGGTTTTTGACAATTACGAAATAAATACTTATTCTTTCTTAATGAAATTTACGGACATAATTCATAACAATAAAATTTGCCTTCGCTGAGAGTTTTAACTCAAAATATTGTGTTTTTCAATGATAATCACCGATCGTCCTTTTCCTGGTGACTAAAATGGGTAGCAAGCCCGGTTTACACTTTTTGATGTTTCATACTTAATTTCGATAACATATTTGCAATTATGTCTGTTGGATCGTTGAAATTGAACTTAAACTACTAAAAACATCTAACTATTGTATTAATATATCCTGATTATTAAAAATATACGCATTTTTTGATATGACTGTCAGACGAAATCATAAGAGGGACTTCCTGTTACAACAGATCTAGGCCAACATTCGCAATTCAATACGTTCTATTCCCGATATTGCTATTTGCAATGGCATGAAGTCACCTTTCAAAAATTAAATAGCGAGATCCGTTCTATTCCCATTAGTGAACTCTTCAAAATTAGAGGCACGTTTGGTCGTCTGACTGGGACAGCATGGTGTTGCGGATAATAAAAACACGCCAATCTCAATCCAGTTTTAAATGTTAAATGTATTTGTCATTCCAATTAAAGAATAGAAGAACTAAAAGACGTATGTAAGAGAGCGAGAACCCTAAATTTATCATCCATTAATAAAGAATACAATATTTCCGAGGCATGTGTATTGTATTTAGATGTACCATACGATAAATAGATACAGACGATCAACAATAGATATAAATTGATATCGTTGTCATTCCTACTCTTAATGTATATAAAGTCCACAACAATTAAATATTTCATTTGCATTTTCTTAGGATTTGTTCATCGACATTCAACGTATTGTTTACATGTTTACGTTACGTTTGTCCCAGAAATCCCGCGAGATTTGTACATTTTCCGACTTTTTCACAAAAGAGCGCAACAAGATGAATTACTCTTCCATAGTGGAAATAGAAAGTAATTCTTAGTTCATTTTAAATAAACATATAATTATTTCATTAAAAGATATTTGTTGGTATTGTTACATGTAATTCAATCATTGGTAAAATGAACAAAAGACAGGGATTTAGCCTATCAGCCTATTTTGGGAAACGCCATTTTTGGGGAATTGGGAAAATATCATCAGCTATTTGATGAAATTGGAAAAAAATTAAAATGTTGCTTAAATCATGTATTCAGGTGTAATTCATTTAACATTTCAGCATGAACTCTAATTCATTTAACATTTCAGCATGAACTCGAATTTGGGCAACCAAACAGACAATTAAATATATTTAACTTCATCATACAAGATCAATTATGAATAATAGACTAATAAAAGTAAAATTGACTTCAATGAGTATAAGTATTTACCTATACAACTTAGGGTAGTACAAGTGTGTATGGGATTCCCATTTAGGTCATTATAGAATCTGTTTCTGGAGATTATAAATCTTCTGCAAAAAATTATACCACTGGTACACATTTTTTCAAAGTCCTCTTTTAATATGTATAAAAACATTGAAAATATATTTTCTATCTTAAATAATGCCTACAGTCCTAACCATTCACTCGTAGATCAATTGAGTAGGTGGAAATAACTTACTAAATCTATACAATTACACAATATCACCATTTTCAGAAAAACAAAGGAAATTCGGATTAGAAGGCGATGTTATTACAGTGTTTTTAAACCTGTTATGACTGTACCTTTGCTAAATAAGTTAAATAGATGAAAATTACAGACAATCTGACAGTTTTACTCTGTGTTTTTCCAAGATGATTAAATATAAAAGCACTATTCACCAATTGGGAAAAAATACTGCCAAACTGGGAAAATCTGAACTCATTTTCAATTGAAAATGAGGCCGAATTTCGGCCCCTGAGAAGGTACTGATAAATCCCTGAAAGAAATCATGAGAAAAAAACCAATAAGGAAAATAAACCGATTTTTTTTTTTTTTATTTTTATGATTAATGTAAGCTGACATTTGAAGAAGAGGGATATATTTTGACCTTTTATAACACACAACCCTTCAGAAATCATATGATTGTGGTGTAATTGACAAGGTATCAAAAAGTTGGACGGAGTAGAGGGCTAGAGGTATAGATCTGTACTAAATACACTCATATTTTTCATTCTTTGCGACCATCAAAAGTGTCGTTTTCTTATTTTCAGTTGACACGCAAATCCTACTTTCGATGTCTTAATGGAGAGGATGCAATTACTTCTTACTGTTTTTCTGTATGCCCTATCTTGTCTGCAAGTCCATCATTTAAAAATAAAGATTTAAACTTTTTGATTTATTAAAAGTTTATACGCCCAAGAATAAAGCTTTTTAAAATTGCATCAAACTTCAAGATCATGAGGTAAATTAAACGTGTACCATCCGAAAGATCTGGATAAGTAATGCACACTTGAAAAAATAGAAAAGCCCCGTCTCTCTAGCAAAAGTTAAGGCCGACGTTAACATTTTATTTGTGTTTCCACATTTGACTCCATGCCCTTTTTCAAAAATTTTAACATTGGTGATAACTTGAAGATTTGAAGAATGTAAAATGAAATGTTTAAATTTAAAGTATTCAATGTATAACGACCATATTTTGTTCCTAATAAATGAATGGTCCGATATTTTTAATCATGGTAGCATTTTGAAGGTGTTATCAAATAAAAATACTCCACCGAAGGAATTTACAAAATTTTGACTATTGTACAATTAATTGCACCTTGAATTTTACATTGGTCTATGGGTAGCACATGTGTTATTGAAATATTGTAAAAAGCAATTCATACAAATTTCTTGATGAAAATATGCATAAACTCTCTCTCTATTAAAATGTGAAATAAAATAAATCATTTACACTGATATTTTGACAAAATTAAAATTACCTTCTTTTCATCAAGGGCAGATAACTCTTCAAAAACGATTAAGGTTCAAAATGGCTAGCTTCTTGCATCAATCTTGTAAATTTGGTTCATTTAACTTTCATCGTTATCTAGCAATACTGATTTAACTAGTTCAAAATGATTGAAAATTGCTCAATATCCTTAACGTATGCAAATAGGTTTGGGATTGAAAATTTAATTAAATTGGTCGTATACATGCAACAGTCTGACAGCATAAAAAAACAAGCATTCTGGGAGTATTCTATTAGCAATACTAGTCCCCTACCGGCAAATGTAATCTGGTTCCCCTTAAAATTTGAAAATGCCATAATTCCGTCAAAAATCACTGATGCGGAACGAAATGCAAACTTAATTTGTAACTAACCAAGGTAAAGTCACATACCAAAAATTAGCTCAATATCTGCAAGTGTTTAGAAAAAAATTGCGGAAAACCCTTAAAAATTGAAAAGGTCGTAATTCCATCAAAAATCAATGAAGTGGAACGAAATGCAAACTTATCTGTAACTCATCAAGATACACTAGCATACCACAAATCTACTCAATATCTGCAAGCGTTTAGGAAAAAAATGCGGAAAACCAAGTGGGACAGACAGACAGAGGGACAGCTAGACGGACGGACAGACGTAGAGGAAACCTATAATCTCCTCCGGTTTCACCGGTAAGGAACTAATAAAAAAGGGTTATATTGGGATGTAGTATGCCAAAATTGTAATCAGGGTTTGACACAGTGCACTCGTAATGGGCTCGTGCACCATATGTCAAGTAGGTTCCAACTTCTTTCAGTACCAAATTTTATTCATACACTACTACAAAACCCTTATTTCACTATTACACAACAAAAAAGGGGGAGGGGCAACCGGCGTTTCAATTAACATTTCAAATAGTAAAAAAAGTCTTTGGAAAAAAAGTGCGGAAAACCGGAGGGGACTATAGGTTTCCTCTGAGTCTGTCCACCCGTCTGTCTGTCTGTCCGTCTGTTTGTCCCTCTGTCTGTCTGTCCCTCTTGGTTTTCCGCACTTTTCTTCTAAACGCTTGCAGATATTGAGCTGATTTTTGGTATGTGAGTGTATCTTGATGAGTTACAGACCAAGTTTGCATTTCGTTCCGCTTCAATGATTTTTGACGGAATTACGACCTTTTCAATTTTTCAGGGTTTTCCGCAATTTTTGTTCTAAACGCTTACAGATATTGATCTGATTTTTGGTATGTGACTTAACCTTTATGAGTTATAGATTAAGTTTGCATTTCATTCCAATTTATTGATTTTTGACGGAATTATGGGATTTTCAATTTTTAACGGGCAGATTACACTTGCCGGTAGAGGACTAGTATTGCTAATGCAATACTCTCAGAATGCTTGTTAAAGTAAATTTACGATATAGAATGAAACACTAGTCTCATTTTATAAAAACAGCGAAATGGTGGTGGTGGTGGTGGTGGTGGTGGGGGGGGGGGGTTAATAGGCATCACTTTTTAGCATACACCAAATAAGCAGCGTGCGTTAGTAGAGAATTGAATGGATTTCGTTAAAACTCCTTCAAAAACAAATATTTGATAGAACACTCAAGTTTTCCAAGATTTAGTACATCTATGGTGTAGTATAATAAACATCTTTTTTTTTTCGATAGACGGAACAGCTTAAGAGGTTACCTGAGCACCAGGTAAGCTTTTGTATAAAAATAAATCTTAGTTATATGCACAAATCTTGGTATAAAAATAAATCTTATTTATATGCACAAATCTTGATGTTTACATAGTCTGATGTCATTTACGATTTGACTTACCAAGTCCATATTAAACCAAGAAACTCCTGAAAGCAATTCGTGATGCCCATGTTCAATTTTACGTTAGTGAACTAGAGGAAGAAACTGGAACAGTACGATGGCTACTAGACAAGATCCCGACGGTCGTTCAAGGTTTGCCAAGCTTGGACTAGCAATAAATGATGAGTTAACACAGGCATATAGAGATATTCTTGAAATGGAGGTGTCCCCTGCATGCGTGTTGAACAGAGTGAAATCATCAGGAATTTTTCAAACCCTCTATCCTGATCAGTTACTTCTTCTGGGAAATGCAAAAAATGTTGGATTTAAGGATTTTGACATTTCACTTTTATACAAATTGCTGAGAAGCATTTGTACGAGGATTCAGAAACCAACAAATGGATGGGGTGGGAATACAATGCCCGCAGAAGGAGATACTACTGTAGGCGATGATATTGAGAGGATACGGTTAATTCGGAACAATTTATTTGGGCATGTGAGTTCAGCCTCGACTTCACTGACAACATTCAATAACTACTGGACAATAATATCCGAAGTGTGCCGAAGATTACAAACTTACACTGCCAAAAATTACTTGGATGCACTTAATAACATTCAGACACAGTCAATGGAAGAGTGTGAAGAAGCCATTATAGAAAAAATTAAAGTTGATTGTGAGAAAGAAAAATTACTCCTAGAACAAGTTTCTTCTCTGGTGTCAGACATGCAAGAAATAAAAGTAGCGTTGTGGTCTGAAAGAAAAGGTAAGAGTTGCTGACGTTTTGATCGTTTAAAGATACGGACTCTGGGATTACATCATGAAGTAGTTTGAAATTTATGTATACATTGTAAACCTTTTTAAATCAAACTGCATTTTGTATCTTGTTAAATTGCAATACATTGTACATGAAAGAGGGACTCTTAAACTAAGACCATTTCTATTTTAATAAAAGAAAAAGATAAAGAAACAGTGTCGAGTCATATTAGTCCTATACAGAATCGAACCAGATGAACTTCGGTATCTCGAACACGGATATCTCGAATACCATGGATATGTCGAAGTTATTAGCTCACCTCGACGAAGTCGAGATAAGCTTATGCTATACCCCCGGCGTCGGCGTTAGCGTCGGCGTCCCTGTTAAAGTTTTAGGAGCAAGTCCATTTCCATGTAACAGTAAGCCCTACCTGGACCAAACTTGCATGGATGATGCAGCTAGGGATGGACACTACCACATTTGCTTCGGATGCTGGATCTGACATTTTCCAGTTGAGTGACCTGGTTAAAGTTTTTGGACCAGGTCAATTCCCAAGTAACTATAAGCCCTACCTTAACCAAACTTGCATGGATGATGCATCTAAGGATGGACACTACCACACTTACTTCGGATGCTAGATCTGACCTACATTTTCCAGTTGAGTGACCAGGTTAATGTTTTTGGAGCAGGTCCATTCCCAAGTAACTATAAGCCTTGCTTTTACCAAACTGGCATGGATGATGCAGCTAGGGATGGACACCACCACACTTGCTTCGGATGCTGGATATGACCTAGATTTTTCAGATGAGTGACCACTGACCAGGTTAATGTTTTTGGAGCAGGTCCAATCCCAAGTGACTTTAAGCCCTACCTTGACCAAACTTGCATGGATGATGCATCTAAGGATGGACACTACCACACTTGCTTCGGATGCTGGATATGACCTAGATTTTCCAGATGAGTGACCAGGTTAAAGTTTTTGGAGCAGGTCCATACCCAAGTAACTATAAGCCTTACCTGGACCAAACTTGCATGGATGATGCATCTAGGGATGGACACTACCACACTTGCTTCGGATGCTGGATCTGACCTACATTTTCCAGTTGAGTGACCAGGTCAAAGTTTTTGGAGCAGGTGCATTGTCAAGTAACTGTAAGCCCTACTTTGACCAAACTGGCATGGATGATGCATCTAGGGATGGGCACTACCACACTTGCTTCGGATGCTGGATCTGACCTAGATTTTCCAGATGAGTGACCAGGTTAAAGTTTTTGGAGCAGGTCCATTCCCAAGTAACTATTAGCTATACCTTGAACAAACTTGCATGGATGATGCATCTAGGGATGGACACTACCACACTTGCTTCGGATGCTAGATCTGACCTTCATTTTCCAGTTGAGTTACCAGGTCAAAGTTTTTGGAGCAGGTGCATTGTCAAGTAACTATAAGCCCTACTTTGACCAAACTGGCATGGATGATGCATCTAGGGATGGGCACTACCACACTTGCTTCGGATGCTGGATCTGACCTACATTTTCCAGATGAGTGACCAGGTTAAAGTTTTTGGAGCAGGTCTATTCCCAAGTAACTGTTAGCTATACCTTGAACAAACCTGCATGGATGATGCATCTAGGGATGGACACTACCACACTTGCTTCGGATGCTGGATCTGACCTACATTTTCCAGATGAGTGACCAGGTTAAAGTTTTTGGAGCAGGTCCATTCCCAAGTAACTATAAGCCCTAACTTGACCAAACTTGCATGGACGATGCATCTTGGGATGTACGCTAACCAACCTGGTTCGGATGCTGGATTCGACCTAGATTTTCCAAATGAGTGAATTTTAGCCATATTTAAACCAAATTAGCATGGATGATGTAGCTATGGATGGTCACTTCCAGACTTGCTTTGGATTCTGAATCTGACCTACATTTTCCAGATGAGTGACCAGGATAATTTTTTGGGAGTAGCTATATAACATTATGGCCTGTTATAATTAAACTTGCATAGATGGTGCATCTAAGGATGAAAACTTCCAGACTTACTTTGGATGCTGGAACTGACCAAAATTTTCTTGATTAGTAAACAGGATAAACATTTTTGGAACAGGTCTATTTCCAAGTAACTATAAGTCGTACTTAAACCAAACTTGCATGGATATTGATCTTGGGATGTACACTAACTGAAAAAGAATATGATGTGAAATTTGCCTTACTTAAAGATAACATTCGTCGAGGTGATCGAGCTTTGTTATCTTTGATTACCTATGTTTTTGAAGTCCCAACTACTTATTCCTTCAGTATTTTGCCCTTGATATCTCGAATCCTCGGTTATCTTGAAGTATTTTCTCGGTCCCTTTCAAGTTCGAGATAACGAGGTTTGACTGCACATTAGGCTCATAGAATGGACTGTACAGCAATCGCCTCTTATTTTAAATCAACTGTCTGCATTTCTGATTTTCTGTACCTGTTAATAGATTTTCTGCTTTATAATTAATATAGCATATTCTAAGCCTGTTGTTTCCAATGACCCGAAAGTCAGATCAGATGATGCCGAGAACACAGACCGGGAAGAGTCGTCAGCGGTTGTTGTACGTTCATATTTGTCTCTCGTTTTTATAAAATCTTCACATCCATCATTTAAATCTTTTCTGAATGAAGGAATGTATATCTGTTCTATTATTCATTAATGAACACATACATGTACATGTACATCTAAAAAAAAAATCCTCCTTAACAAAATAAAATTCGGTTGAATTAATGTGTACATAGGTATGACACTGTTTTACGGAGGGGTATAATATATTATCTTTTTTTCTTGGTGTTCTCGGTTTTAATAATATTAAATTTATGAGTCGAATTATTGAAACTCAGTATTAGAACCACTATTTGGCTTGAAAGCATTTGAACAATTTTAAAACAAGGCTGTATTGTCCTAATCTTTCCGCAGAGGAATTGAATTAGGTGATCAGTGTTTGACGAATGTTAATATCAGAGCAAAACACAGAAAAAATAACTAAAAAAAAATATTTTATATAAGGACCAAACCTAGTCTTGTAATCCGTGTGAATATTATTGAAGTTCAAAAGATTTTTTTCTCAAGGAGATCTATCTTTAGGTACTTTTTAAAATTTAAAATGCATGTTAGCGTTTTTATTTATGACTGATCTCCACTTTATACTGTAAAACACTTTTTATTCGCGAGAACTTTATTTTTGCGAGACCGTCTGCTCGCTAAAAACAATCGCAACGTCTCGGTCCTTTCCGATGAGCGGAAAAACAACCTCGAACGTGTTACGTAAGCGTCTGTGACAACCCCCGCCTTTTCATGAACATTAAAAGATATGTAGAGAGACCTCTTATCTCTGTACTCTGTAGCTTAACTTTATTGAATGTAAAGATATTACCTTAAATATACTTCATAAGGAACATTCAACTCCTTTAAAAGTAAATAGGAAGCGACCCCATTTTGGATAAAATTTTAAAATACACTCGATGTGTTCTTCCGACTTGCTGGAAAGACCCGAGAAGATGCGATTGCGCTGAAATCCCCTCTCGCTTTTAATTTTACTTTTAATGATTATATAGAGCAATAAGTAAACTGAGAGAAAATTTTGTTTCGCATGTATTACAAAATTACAATCACATGAAAATAGGTTGTCGCGAAAATTTACTGATCTACAATAATTGGTACTTTGAACTTTGAAAGGAAAAATAATTTTGCCATTTCGTCATTTATCAGAAAAGGCTGTTGCATTCAAAATACAAAGAGATAGAACTGCTTGAGAAACAATTGAGTAAATACAGAGTACCAAAGAACCTGGTCATCATGGGACCGCAAGGTGTGGGGAAATCTTCCTTTATCAATTCTGTTATTGCAAGTTTTTCGTCCAATTGCTGGCGAGAGTGGACAAAAGTGGGGGACTTCGATGATTGTAGATATGGGGAACGAGTTACACGTCAACTTATTAAGTAAGTACTGATCGAGTTACACATCAACTTATTACACGTCAACTTATTAAGTAAGTACTGATCGAGTATTACACGTCAACTTATTAAGTAAGTACTGATTGAGTTACACATCAACTTATTCGGTAAGCACTGAACGAGTTACACGTCAACTTATTAAGTACTCATCGAGTCACACATCAGCTTATTAGAGTCAACTTATTATGTAAGTACTGATTGAGTTACACATCAACTTATTAATTAAGTACTGATCGAGTTACACGTCAACACATTGTGCAGTGCAATTTTTTTCTGTATTCTGCTGTAGTAAAATTGATTCATGAACAAGGGAGCTATCAGAAAACTTGCCTTGACTTTATCAGTTTAAAATTTTATTATTGATAAAGAAACCTATCGATGATAGTTTGTTTTACTTGATGAATGCAAGTAATACTAGTAGTATTTTGTTCTTTACCAGGATATCTAAGGATGATTACCTCGATTCAGAGAGACAGAAGAAATTTCACTATCCAACACTGATTGATATAAATGGATTCCAAGATATATTCCTAGAGAAATTAATAGTCTTACTTAGATATGTCTTATTTGGTCTGATTACAGATAAACACGAACTGTTAGATGCACTGAAGTTTTATGGGTGAGTTAGAATACATTGATGCGGCTAATAATTAAACAAGTTACTTTTGATTTGAAAAAAATTCCTTGATACATTAAAATTAAATTTTTGCAAACCTTGTAGACTTCTCTTGGTTGGCCATCAGGGTATTCTTCTCAGAAATCCAATATCTTGTAAAATCTTTTTCCAATATCTCATATTTAAAAAAATGCACTTAAAACTAATTAAACAACAGAGACAACTTAATAATAGATTCCAGTGGTAATTTATTTTTCTTGCAGCATGATCTGGAAAGAAAATACACTTGTATTTATAAATATGTCATAAATGATTTCAACTTAATAAATAAAAAAAATAATAATTTAATAAACTTAATTTTTTTTTAAATCTTAACAACTGTCCTTGGAATTAATTTATATTCAATGACTTAAGATGAGTTTTCATATCCGTTTAACATCAGCTTGTTTGTCAGTATCCTGCTTAGCTTTAGAAGTTGTTCGTCCGCAGAATATGCTAATGTGTTTGGAATACAACGGGGAGACATAACCAGATGATATAGAGGGTTTATTTCTACGCAATGCAAGAGGAACTGGACATGGAAACATTAAATTCATCGTATTAATCCTAAACTTTAGTTGTTAGTTTGCCATCAGTGTCTCTCCCTTGTTGAACATCCAACTATGAAACAGATGTGTCATGTAAAAAAACAATAAAAGAGATACATATATTTGTTTCAAAAACCTTCGTGAAAGTACATTTTTTAAAAATATGCTCGTGAAAAGTGTCAGACCTCGTTCTCATGAATTTTCAAAGATGAAATATAACAATAAAAATGGCGCTATTTACATGTAATCAATTCATTTATTTCGATCAACTGAATAGAAATGGGCATTAGCTTGTATTCATTTTCTGACCAGTGACAATCAAGTCTACATGCATTTATATTCAATGCTGATATTTAATGATGTTAGATATGACAATTTATTGATATCAATAGAATTCTGAAATATTTTGAATAAATAGTGAAATACGTAATGTTAACCGTTGCTTGTTTTTTATTTAGGTATAATGACATCAAACAGGCAATGACATATTTATCAAAACAGGAAAAAATGAGGGTGGACGGTCTTACTGTTGTGACTTCGGCCGTCTCTTCTCTGCCTCATAATATCTTAAATGCAGTTAAGCAGGTGGCAGTAAAAGAGATGGAAGGTAAAATAAAAAGCATTTTACAACATAAGTGTATGTTTTACTTGTACTCTTGATATTTAAAAACCCTTCTGACTGTGATCAATTTTCAGACATTATGAACAAAATTACTCCTTGATCGTTATTTTCAAATTTCAATTTTTTTATTTGGTTCATTATTTTCAAATTTCATTTTTTTATTTGGTTCATTTTGACAGTAGGTGCTTCTTATAAAATTTTTTAATCGAAAGTTAAAGCAGTTTCTTTGTTTTGAAAAAAGAAGAAATGGCAATCATATCCATTATTTTCTGGCTATGTGTTCATTATCACAGTTCCGGTGTTTGGAGTGCTAACAGAACTTGACAAAGTAAACGACTGGGAGGCACTTGCAATAAAGAAGAAGGAATTCTGCTCCAAACTAGGGCTCCCAGAAACTCGACTGCTTCTATGTACTAACTACTGCGATGATTACGACAAATGCTCTGGGAATTCCCGTCTGAATCAAGTTCATCCGGAGCTAGATGTTCCCATTTTATCCTTTATGAGACAGGTAATATATATAAAACCAGTCATTCTACGATAAAAGGACCAATTCAGGATATATAACATGAAAAAATAATTTTTCAAAAAGCCAGTTGAACAACCTAATCCCATTAGGGACTAAGGGGCATACCAGTGCATTTGAAAAAAAAAAATAATTGTCCACAAATTTGGTATCGTTAACTTTTACAACAATTTCTATATACCATTGGTTTTAACTTTTAAGGTAATGTTTTGGAAGTTCATGCTTGAACAGTCCTTATTATTTTTAAATAAAGCTGAATTTGACCAAATTTTTGTTTTCTGATGTTCAGGATAGAACACCAACAATAAAAGTTGAAATTCTCGGCAATATGTAAAAATAACGTATGTTTTAAGATGTTGATCAAAAGTATGAAGTATCTTGCTCCCAAAATAATAGTAATAATATTTTTAAATACCTTTAATGCAAAAACATTCGTGAGTTACCGTTACGGAAGTTAAATATTTTAAAGAGACAACTGTTTCTGTCTAATTCATTTTGTTCTGTCGAAAATGCAATGGTCTATAAAAGTAGCTAACTCGTAACTACAATCAATGGTCACTTTCAAGTAAGTTTCAGTTCTTTGTGAAGTCTGCATTCTCTGCGTGCAATTTAAAACAAAATCGTTACGGAAGTTAATCGATCTTCAGCACTTTCTATGATTTCGTATGAAAGAAGATCCTTGCATTTCTTCGCGAGAAGTGGTGTGTTTTCTTTTTATATATGAACAAACTTTTCTTTACCATTCCTTGTAATCTATTTTGGATACTTAAACGGCTGAAAATTACATCTTGAAATTTGTAAATGAACGAAGCAACATTAAGATTTGCGGTGGAATATGTTTTTAAATATTGTAGAATGACTGAAACCAGTTTTAATTATTTTCTGCATTGACAAATCCGTAGATAAGTGTTGAATGTCTAGTTACATCGCTTGTAATCATTTCATTTTCCAGGTTTGTGATATTGTAAACATCCATACAAAATTGAAAGTAATCCATTCTAGTGAAGTTATATTGTGTAGTGCATTACAAGGACCACGAATGAGAGCCCAGTTACAAGGTGCTTCTTCCCGAAATGAACAAGAACTGGTCACTATGGAATATTCAAACTTTGTATATAACTCTGGACCTGTCTACAGTGACCTGGCACTCGCCATGGGTTTGGTTTGTGTTGTGCTTGCGATCGGTTACTTGGCTCTTACCAAGTGAGATGTCTACAGAAGACTCCTTGTCATGAATAGACATTGGTGACTATGTAAGACTTCTTGTCATGGAATAGACATTGGTGACTACAGAAGACTCCTTGTCATGGAATAGACATTGGTGACTATAGAAGACTCCTTGTCATGGAATAGACATTGGTGACTACAGAAAAACCCTTGTCATGAATAGACATTGGTGACTACAGAAGACTCCTTGTCATGAAATAGACATTGGTGACTACAGAAGACTCTTGTTATGGAATAGACATTGATGACTGCAGAAGTCTTATCATTGAAAGGACACCATGTAACAGAGACAAGCGGTGAGCTTTTGGTGTATTTTGCGGTCGCTGGGAATTGACAGATGTACATGTTATGCCAAAGGAGCTTGCTCATAGACAAAAAGCATGTTTTCAATGTACACAAATTGATCTTATTAAAAGCATTGCTTCATATAATGCATATTATACATACTTTTTAAAAATTCTAAATCAAAGTATATTTGTTTTGCTTATTGTGAGAACATCATTGAGAGAGTATACATTAAATTCTGCCTTGAAAACTGATATATTTACGTAATAAAGATTCACTCCTCTCCTAGCATTATCAGATAAACTGACAATTGGAGAAAATGATGATTTTACTTAAGTTTTCTTCAGTTGTTAAGTTTGACAGTCTCAAGCTCTGGATACCTTCTTAATAAACCAAACTGTCATAAAAACGCAGCTCATTCGTCTGTCTGTCTGTATTTCTGTGTGTAACACTTTCGTTTCAAGGTCATAAATTCATTCATTCTGTTTTTGTTTAACACTTTCGTTTCTAGACAATATCTTTAACATTCTTTACGCCTTTGCAATTTAAAAATATATCACAGCTTCTTACGGCCTTAAAAAGATGTCTCGAATTTAAGGTCGATAGGTCAAAGACAAAAATCATATATCATAAATAATATTTTTCAAGATGATAAATTAGTTTTCTTTGAGCTTTCTTTATTAAATTTAATATCATAACTCCATATTACGTAAAGAAGACCTCTATCGAGTTTTAGGTTAGAAGGTTAGAGGTCAAGGTCCTAAATTCATGCATTTTTTGTGTGTAACACTTTCGTTTCCAGACTGTCTTAAAATCTGAGAGCTTTTGCAATGAAATTATGCATCACAACTCCTTATGACCTAAAGAAGACTCTTTTAAATTTGAGATCAAATGGTCAAAGGACATAAATTCATACATTGCAAATAGCATTTTTTATAGATGATAACTTAGTTTGCTTTAAGCTTTCTGCGATAAAATTTATTATTACAACTCCGTATGAAAATCAGCAGTTAAGAAATTGAAAATTCCCACAAAAATGTCGGGAAAATTATGAAAACTCAAATATGTTTTCAGGAAATGTGAATAAAAGCACCAGCTATGCATTATCAGAAAATTGATCAACAAATATATTTTAGAATTTAAAAATATAGGTATCCCGGTATTCGGGAAGAATACATTCTATTATTTACATCATGCAATTCTTATACCGGTATAACACATGTGTAAAAAGCTTGTGCTATCTTTGGAATACATCAAAGATCACTTCTTATTTCATAACATACTTATAAACATCGGTATTTATGTTAAATTAACGGAAATTGATTTCCTTAAAAATGTATTAAATTTTGTACTTTTGTATTAATTTTTGTATTTGGGTACAAATGTAAACTTTTTACAGTACAGTTTTTGATACAGCAAAGAAAGTTAAAACATAATGAGATGAATAAAATGACAATCGTTGCACAAAAACTTCAAATTTAGACCATCTTAAAAAATTTGGTTGGTTGTCCTCTGCGGACCGACTGGCTAAAAATGGTCCGACTCGAAACTCTTTTTAACCTACTGGAAACAATTATTTGTTATGCATGTCGGAAAACAGATTTTGAAATTCAGCATTGATTTGAAACTTTTCTGTGAAAAAAAAATCCCCACTGACCTACCGACCCTTATTTTTCCATCCTGGGTCGGGACAGTCAGGGCAAACAAACATTATTTTAAAGTTGACTCTCAAAATAAAATAGTACTTATATATTCTCTATTGAGAAGTTGATGGCTCGTTTTAATACTCCCCCTCAACTTCTCTACGAAAGGCCTCATAAAAGCAGTTCAGAAATTGACTAAATGAAGAACCAAAACCGGGTCCCACTTCGATCGGTGTTTTAGGATTGATGCATTATCATAGGCATATTTTGGATGCACAGATGTTGTTTTGCAATGGAAATGCGATTAAAAATGCCGATTCTGCTGACTTAAAAAACATTCATCACGGTAGAACACTTACTTTCGATATCTGTGTCACCGGATTCCTTCATTCATTCAAAACTGCGTTTGACCTCTAAAAAAGTCTAAAACTATTTCTCCGGATAACTATTTTACACTGAAACATTTAGTACAATTTATCCGGATAAAAAGTTTTAGACTTACTTAGAGGTCAACCGGGTTCAAACGCAGTTTTGAATGAATGAAGGAATCCGGTGACACAGATATCGCAAGTAAGTGTTCTACCGTGATGAATGTTTTTTAAGTCAGCAGAATCGGCATTTTTAATCGCATTTCCATTGCAAAACAACATCTGTGCATCCAAAATATGCCTATGATAATGCATCAATCCTAAAACACCGATCGAAGTGGGACCCGGTTTTGGTTCTTCATTTAGTCAATTTCTGAACTGCTTTTATGAGGCCTTTCGTAGAGAAGTTGAGGGGGAGTATTAAAACGAGCCATCAACTTCTCAATAGAGAATAAGTACTTATATAGAGTAATCCTTCCTTGCTGAAGAGCGGATATCCTTACGCAGGTGAGTTAAGGCTAGGTACAGGCATTTCTATGCAAATAAACTAATTAAAATGCCCAAGGACTATATCTTTTATGCAGAGAAAGTTAAAACATATTGTCTAATAGATACTTGGTACCCACGACATAAGATAGCCAGTACACATTATGACGTCATATTATGACGTCATTGTTCTTTACTACACAAGATTATAATGGACATTCGGCGCAAGGGCATGCTTTATTTTATTTAACTGAAACAAGGTATTTTTAGAAGCAAAATATTCCAAAGATTGCTGGTATTGCTGCACAGATATCTACAGCTCAGTTGTATAATTTCTATTTGTAAAGTTTTAAGTTGAATCAGAGTAAAAATGTACAGTCCGGTATAAGTTTCCTCCAATTCCGATCAAATAAGAAAATGCCTAGGATTTGTGCAACATTTTTATTAATCTATAGAATATTCCTCTTAGCATTATACAATTTTTAAGTAAAATTAAATAGGGTAATCCCTTGCGCCGAAGCTGTTTTGTTGATATGCTTTATTAACTCCAGTCGGTAAGAACAGTGACGTCATAATATGACGTCATAATGTGTACTGGCTATAACATACCGAGGCTACTAATGCCCTGTTCACACGGAGAGTTTAATTCGAATTAAACGTAAGTTACTGCGAATTAAATTTGATCCGCGTTCACACGGAGAATTTAATGCGAATTAGTTTAATTCGAATTAGTTTACTGCGCATTAAATTACTTCGCATTAGCTCCATGTGAACGCTAAGCGAAGCTAATTCGAATTAAATTTTGACGCATGCGTAAGGGCCGAATTAAGTCACAGGCCACATGTCGATGGTCAAATATGGGTACTTGCGCTATTTTTGAGTGGAAAACAAAGCAAAATTATGTTAATCACTAAAATGTGTACAGACACTATGACATTATGTCAAATGTATATCTGCTCTGCACAAAATGACGTGATTTGTAAATGACGTCATAATAGCCTTACTGAATAGCCTTGTTGTAGAAATAAAATTTTAATTCGCATTAATTTACTTAAGAAATAAATAACAAGTTTAAAAACTTCAATGGGAATTGAAGTGGGTCGGTCACGTGATCAAATCCTGTGAAGGCCGAAGGCCTTCTCAGAAGATTTGATTACGTACCGACCCACTTCAATTCCCATTGAAGTTTTTAAACTCGTTATTTATTACTTATATATACATTTGAGACGGACAATCGAATGTAATCGAATATAAATATTGCACTAACTGTACGTCGTAGATTTTGACAAATTACGCTAGGTGTAAATCGGCTTGAAAAGCGGTTACGCTTCAAATTCATCTGGCAAAGGATTGTTTTGAAGGGAATATTCTGTGAAAGTCTTCTTGTGATCAATTATTATAGTGAGCATATTGGTGTCTGGGAATTTTTGTTTTCATGAGAACCCATATTCGATGTTAAAAAACACAAGAAACACGTCCGATGTTTGATACTAAAAAGTTGGAGGAATTTCGGTCGGAAAGGGATGGATGGAGACACTTGTCCGGACCAGATAACTTGAAATCAAGTACAAAATTTGATCAAAAACATAAAATCTACGATTTCAGTAAGGCATATTTATTAATTTATGATGTTGACAACTTACATGTTAAGACAACGTCACAACGATCTCGATGATGGAGGTGTGCCTACCGAACTTCCAAAGTGCAGTGTTTGTCAGCTGTTTGTGGCGTGATTGCATTACATTGATATTTTCCAACAGATTTTCAAATATATTGTGAGTAAAGTTTAATGGAAAAAAAATTATAGCATTCAGAGGTCTGCGAGAAAAATAAGGGTAAACGTTGAGACTATGCAGCTCAGACATGAAACTTATAACACGTAGTTTTCTATTCTCTATGTAAAATCGATCAAGAACTGTATTAAATACTCATTTACATTGTAAATAAAATGATAATTATTTTACTTGCGTATTTTGTACATTTTTATGCATGAAAAACATGCTATATTGCTTAGTGGAGTAAGTCTTTTTATGCTACAGTAGATATTACTGCGCTGTGTGATTAGGTCACGTAATGACCTATGACCTTCGAAAAACTTCATACAGGTATGAAGATATTTGCTCTCTGCATGTTTATATAATAGAGAGATACCACAAATGTATATATTTCGCATTAGCTGTCGTGTGAACGCAATTTAA